TTCCAGGAAACAAACCCCCTCCACAGTCCAAATGGTGGTTCTCTTCTTTTCTTCCAGTATGTCTATACTACCACCCTAGTTCGAACTAGGGTGGTTAATGTAGTCAATCGAAGTTGCAAATGAAGCCCCGGGATTTAAATATCCCGGGCTTCATTTGCATCTTGCCGGGCGCTGCCATTTTTAAATTCCCGGTAGTTTGGACTCTGTGCCCGCGGCTACACGCGGCACGGAGTAGGTAGTTTCAATTAGGTTTCTAATTTGAACTACCATTACACCTCGTTACACTTCGATTGACTACATTAACCACCCTAGTTCGAACTAGGGTGGTAGTGTAGACTTACCCTTCCTCGGTGGGGTGCAGGTGGTACAGGAGCAGCAGACAGGTGGCAGCCAGCTAGGGAAGGCCTCTGGATGGTGGATGCTGGTGGGGTCCTCTTCCTCTGGAGCAGCGGGGGGATCAGGCCGGCAGGCCCCTCTCCCCTCCCCTTCCCTCAGACAGCAGCAGCAGCAGCTGGTGGTGATGGTGAACAGGAGCAGCAGCAGCAGCGTTGTCTGGGAGAGCAGGTCCGGCAGCTGGGAGCCTCAGCAGGCAGGCGGTGGCTGGGTAGGGCGGGGAGAACTCTGGCTGGTGCAGGCAGCAGGAACAGAAGAAGAGGAGGAGAGCAGCATCTACACCTTGCTCCTGCTCCTTCTTCTCTGGAGTGATTCCAAGTGGCCACCCACTGCACCCGAAGGGTAAGTGCCCCTCCCAGAGCCTTGGTGGTCTTCACCTGGCCCTAATGAGCCACCTGGCCGAAGCCAGGGGGTGGGGCCAGAGAGGTAAAAAGTCTGCCAGCCAGGCCAGTGAGGGCCGACCACTGAAGAGGCCAGAGGACTCCCCTACACCTCGAGGAAGGGAGCTAAGGCATGACGTGGCGTGGGCCACCAGGCCCCCTGCTGCTCAGCAGCCCGGAAGAACAGCAAGGGCCAGAGGGCTCCCCTGCATGCTGCAGAGTGGAGCAGACGCTTGGGGAGGTGGTGAGCTGGCATGGGGCCCAAAGGAACAACAGACTTCCCTGGACTTCGCAAGCACCCTGCAAGCTGCTGAGGAGTGGCCAATGGACCTGGATCCCTGTGACTCTGTGGGAGACCTATGCAACCACCGGATACATGCTGAGGAGGGAAGTGGCCCAGGGGACAGCATGGACATGCCCGGATCAGTGCATTTTGGGCTGGAGCTCCTGCTGATCCAGCAACAGCAGACTGCTGCCTCTAGGGACCTGGGCTGGGACACAGTGGAGCGAGCGGCCCTGTGTCCCCTCTGCCACCCAATGCTTGGGTGGTAGCCTCCCCCTCTCCACCACGGCCAGCAAGCTGCCTGCAGCCCTACTGAGTCAGGAGACCTGAAACATGTAGATTACTTTACAAACTGCTTTCCGGCGCCCCCCCCCCGCTCCCTCCCGAACCAGGGCTGGGCCTTGATAAACTGTTGGGCCTTATAAACTATTTGCTGACCAAGGGATGGGCTTATAGACTGCTTGCCTGTTGCCCTGCCCTGACCAATTGCTGGGCTTATAAATTGTTTACCTGACACCCAGCCCTGAACTAAGGCTGGGACTCTGACTATTATTTGCTGGCCTGCCCAAACCCAGGCCACCTTGGTATTGTTTACTTTTGTCACCCCGCCCTGAGGTAGGAGCAGGGGACCCCCAGACTGGTTATTTGATGTGTTAATTCCCCTCAGAGACGGATCCGGGTGTAGTGAATTGGAGTGGCCCACTGACCCCGAAGGGGAGGCGCCCCTCCCAGAGCTGACAAGCTTACAGGGCTCAATGCCATTGCCACCTGCAATGCAAAACTATCTAGGACAAAATTAGACATCTTTATTACTAAAACAAAGAGTGTTTAGGGTTAAGTTTGAGAATTGTTTTCAGCTATGGAAACCACAATTCCAATTGAATTCAGGACCACGTTTACTCTAAAAGCACACATTAAATTCCACCCACAAAAGTACTGAAGTCATTTTAATTTCTATATAATAGAAACACTAACTATTTAAATGCTCCCAAGTACAGATTAATAGGCTACAAGTTAAATGATAAATAGATTTGCACATCGAACTATTTTCAGAATGCATTAGTTACACCATTGACAATTTAACAAAATGTTCTCTCAGACAGTTTAACATCATCCAAAAAACTCAAGACTTTTGGGATTACTAATCAAGTACAGGGTGGCAATCTGGACAGCAGTGATGATGAGATGGTCGATTTTAGGATCCTGACCAAAGGAAGAAAGAAGAGCAGCAAAATATACACCCTGGACTTCAGAAAAGCAAACTTTCACTCTCCCCTCAGGCAATTGATGGGCAGGATCCCCAGGATGCTAACATGAAGGGGAAAGGAATCCAAGAGAGCTGGCTGTATTTTAAAGAAGCCTTATTGAAGGCACAAGAACAAATCATCCTGATATGCAAGAAGAAAAGCAAATATGGTAGGCAACCAGCTTGGCTTAACAGTGAAATCCTTGATGAGCTAGAACACAAAAAGGAAGCTTACAGGAGGTGGAAACTTGGACAGATGACTAGGGAGGAGTATAAATATATTGCTCGAGCATGCAGGCGTGTTATCAGGAAGGTGAAAGCGCAATTGGAATTGCAGCTAGCAAGGGATGTGAAGGGTAACAAAAAAGATTTCTACAGGCATGTTAGCAATAAGAGGGTGGTTAGGGAAGGTGTGGAATCCTTACTGGATGAGGGAGGTAGCTTAGTGGAGAATGTGGAAAAAGGTGAAGTACTCAATGCTTTTTTTTGCCTCTATCTTCACAGACAAGGTCAGCTTCCAGACTGTTGCACTAGGCAACATAGAATAGGAAAGAGGAAGGAAGTCTATGGAGGAGAAAGAACAGGTTAAGAACTATTTAGAAAAGCTGGACATACACTAATCCATGGGGCCAGATCTAATGCATCTGAGGGTACTGAGGGTGTTGACAAACAGCATGGCAGAGTCTTTGGCCATTATCTTCAAGAACCTGTGGAGATCGGGAAAAGTCCCGGATGACTGAAAAAAGGCAAATGTAGTGCCAATCTTTAAAAAAGGGTAGAAGGACAATCCAGGGAACTACAGACCAGTCAACCTTACCTCAGTCCCCGGAAAAATCATGGAGGGGATCCTCAACGAATCCATTTTGAAGCACTCGGAAGAGGGGAAAGTGATCAGGAATAGTGAACATGGATTCACCAAGGGTCTAAACAATCTGATTAGCTTCTACGATGAAGTAACTGACTCTGTGGACATGAGAAAGTCAATGGATGTGATATACCTTGAATTTAGCAAAGCTTTTGATATGGACTCCCACAATATTTTTGCCAGCAAATTAAGGAAGTATGGATTGAATACATGGACTATCAGGTTAGACTGTCAGGCCCAAAAGGTAGTGATCAATGGCTAGATGTCAGGTTGGCAGTCAGTTTCTAGCAGAGTGCCCCACGGATTGGTTCTAGGACCAGTTTTGTTTAACATCTTTATTAATTACATGAATGAGGGGATGGATTGCACCCTGAGTAAGTTTGCTGATGACACTAAGCTACGGGGAGAGGTAGATACGTTGGAGGGTAGGGATAGGGTCCAGGGTGACAGACAAACTGGAGAATTGGGCCAAAAGAAATCTGATGAGGTTCAACAAGGACACGTGCAGAATCATGTACTTGGTATGGAAGAATCCCAAGCACTGTTCACAGCTGTGGATCAATTGGCTAAGTAGCAGTTTAGCAGAAAAGAACCTGAGAATTATAGGGGATGAGAAGCTGGATATGAGTCAACATTGTGGCCTCGTAGCCAAGAAGACTAACAGCATATTAGGGTGCTTTAGGAAGAGCACTGTCAGCAGATCTAGAGAAGTGGTTATTCCCCTTTATTTGGCACTGGTAAGGCCACATCTGGCATATTGAGTCCAATTCTGCCCTCACCTCCCACCCCCATTACAGAAAGGATGTGGACGCATTGGAGAGGGTTTAGCTCAGGGCAACAGGGATGATTAGGGGGCTGGAGCACATGACTTATGAGGAGAGTCTGAGGGATTTGGGCTTATTTAGTCTACAGAAGATAAGAATGAGGGGGGATTTGATAGCAGCCTTTAACTATCTGAAAGCAGGGGGGTTCTAAAGAGGATGGAGAGAGGCTGTTCTCAACAGTGAGAGGACAGAATGAGGAGCAGTGGTCTCAAGTTACGGTGGGGGAGGTCTAGGTTGAATACTACGATAAACTATTTTACCTAGGAGGGTGGAAAAGCACTGGAATAGATTGTCTAGGGAGGTGGTGGAATCTCCAACCCATGGGCCATGTCTATACTGCAGGCTTTTTGCAGAAGAACTGTTCTGCGCAAGAGCATGTCCACACTGCCATGTGCTTTTGCGCAAGAGATGTGCTTTTGCGCAAGAGCGTCCATGGCAGTATGGACGCTCTCTTGCGCAAGAAAGCTCTGATGGCCATTTTAGCCATAGGGGTTTCTTTAACAAGAAACCCCTGTTGCCCATCCACACTGCCTTCTTGAGCAAAAGGGATTATTCCTTGCGAGGAAAGGAATAACTCTTGTGGAAGAAGCCCTCTGTTCCAATGCCTTACTGTAAATTTACTTGTGCAAGAACACATGTGCAGTGAAGACACTATGCAAGTTTTTGTGCAAGAACAGCCATTGTTGCTCAAAAAGCCTACAGTGTAGACATAGCCTAGAGGTTTTTAAATCCTGGCCTGACAAAGCCCTGGCTAGGATGATTTATTTGGGGTCTGTCCTGCTTTGGGCAGGAGGTAGGACTCAGTGACCTCTCAGGTCTCTTCCAACCCTACGATTCAGTACTTTTTTTAAAAAAAAAAAAAAAAAGAGCTGCCTGCCTTATGATGTAAAAGTTTAAGCCAACAGCCAGAAGTATTAGGGGGTGGGAGTGCAACCTTACCATGTGAAACCACTTTTTATTTAATCTGACCTGCAATTAATGAAAAAGTTAAAAACTATTAGTTCCTCACCAGAGTATTGCTCTTCTTAATATCTTCTAATCGCTCCAACACTGAAGTCAGGTTTGGATCATCTGATTCCACAAACCATATTGGTGATGAAGAGGGATAAGATTCCTGAAATAGAAGAGACAGGAAACTTTGGTATAGATGTATGTAAAGTAATACATGTTGGACCTCCCTGGTCCAGCACCCTCGGGACCTGACTTGTCACAGATGAGAGAATTTGCCAAATCAAGGGAGGTTCTCTGTCATTAGCTCCTCAGTCTGCCACTCCTCCTTGCCATCGGCTCCTTTGGCCCTGTCCAGGCTGCCTGCTGACCAATCCCACTCCCAGGCAGGACTTCTAGGCAGCAGGCCAACCAACACCTACCCTACCATCACAACCC